ATAATATAATGAATCTAAAAGAAATCCATTTTCTCAATTCAATATTTAGCTATTTCAAATGGCCATCCTTGCTGAGAATACAATACAAGCTACAGATGCTGTGCTTACAAAAATGCCCACTGGTCAATCCACACTGTTGTCAGGCAGGCCCTCACAGATCTCCCCAGTCAGGACCCACAGACACTATAAAAGATAAACATCTGCTGTGCCAGCGGCTCATACTCATAATCCTAGCTAGTGAGGAGGCTGAGAACTGAGGATCACCGTTCTGAAGCCAGTCCAGGCAGAAAAGTCCCTGTGAGACTCTTATCTCCAATTAACCACTCAAAAACCTTAAAGTGGCAGAGCACTAGCCTTGAGCAAAAGAGCTGAGGGACAGCGCCCAGGCCCTGAGTTCAAGCCCCATGACCAAACATCACCAGTTCTATTATTGGGCAGATAACTGACACTGCCAGCCCAGGCTCTTGCTTTTCTTTGGGGCCTCTGTCCTCGGGGATCTGCCATGTTACCAACAAGGCCTTCAAGTGACCAAAGTCAGACCGTTCATAAACCTTCTATGGCATTTTTATAACTGAGTTGGAGACAGAAAGTATTTCAGGGGAAGAGAAATGGCAAAATGTGAAGTTCAGAAACCATTAAGTTCCCTGCCCTGTGCAGAAAACCAGTCCGCTACAAAGAAAAACAAAGTAAAAATGAACGAGGAGTCCCTATGGTTTGGTTACCCATCTTCCCTTCCATTCTTAAGTCCTCCTAACAGACACTTTTTTTTTGGCTGAAGCCTATTTAAATTTTATAGCTTGAAACGAAAAAAGTCTAGCATTAATCACTTGGCTATTTCTAAGTACTCTCTGCTTTTATGTTTCTTTGTTTGTTTGTGCCAATCTTGGGGGCTTGAACTCAGGGCTTGGGCCCTGCCTCTGAACTTTTGTGCTCATGGCTAGTGCTCTACCATTTGAGCCACAGCTCTACTTCTGGCTTTTTTGGTGGTTAATTGGAGGTAAGAGACTGACAGACTTTCCTTCCCAGGCTGACTCAGTTCTCAGCCTTCTGATTAGCTAGGATTACTGGCACGAGCTCCTAGCACCCGTCTTAAATACTGTTTACTTTAGCCGGGCACAGGTGGCTCACACCTGTAATCCTAGCTCTCAGGAGGCTGAGATCTGAGGATCTCGGTTCAAAGCCAGCCCGGGCAGGAAAGTCCGTGAAACTCTTATCTCCAATAAACCACTAGAAAACCGGAAGTGGTGCTGTAGCTCAAGTGGCAGAGCGCTCGCCTTGAGCTGAAGAGCTGAGGGACAGCGCCCAGACCCAGAGTTCAAGCCCCATGACCAAAAATAAAAATAAAAAATACTGTTTACTTTAAACAAGATGTATGCCCCTTATAATTTCTCTATACAGAAAATGAAATGTCTTCCTTTGGACATTTAAACAGAGTTTTAAAAGCTAATTTCCAACCAGCTCACACTTCACAATGTACAAGGATCTAATAGAATAAGTATTTAAAACAAGTCCTGGCTCATATCATTCAATATGTTCCCTACACTATTAAGATATCATTTTAAGAAGCTAACTGCCTGATCATTTTTAGTTTAATTCCAAACATAACAAGATAAAACTGCCTTCTTAAGTCATCTCCTCCTTTATGTGTTCAATTATATTCCCTGCTTAAAATACTTAAAATAAAAATTGGCGCGGATCCATTCACTGATGGGTATTTTAAGTTAGAAAGCAGTAGATATCAAATCAACCACACAAAAGCAGGCTTATTCTCCACTTTGAACATTGCCGGAATCCAGACTTTCATTACCACTAACAATGGACTTGAACATTTTCACCTTAATTGCAAGTTTTTACATCTCAATCAAACATACTTTGACTTAATAGACTACAATGAAGTTCAGCTACAATCAATCTGGCAAACTCTAGATTTCCTTCTCTTCTTGTCAAGGCTTTGAAAATTCATTGAATATTGCTGTACTTGGGAGATTATAATAGCAATGAAACATATATTATACCCCACTGCTTATTTTTATGGCTTTTAATATAATGCCAGCATCTAGTAAACTGGAAAAACAATTGAATCCTGAAGTTAAAAAAAAAAAAACTCAAAACTTGGAAATCATCCAGTTCAACAACCTCACTTTACACATATAAACATGGGTGCAAAACCTGGCTCATATGCCAAAGTGAGTAGCTAGCACTAAAGAAAGAATTAGAACACAGACCCCTCGAGCTTTTTAACCATAGCATGGAAAAGATGCCCATGTGTTCACAGAGTCTTTCCCCATTAATCCTGATGACAATAGTAGGGAATAGATTGATTTGAATTACCTTCTCTGCTCTGCTCCCCCAAATGTCTCCATTCATATGCTTACTCATTCTTAATACTGCAGACATATTTATTCTCACATTATACTATAAAGTGTGGCATACAGAAGGTCACAATAGAACATCTGCTTGTTACCAGATGTTGCCTCCTAAAATAAAGCCAAGTAGAAATACGTGGTATCCACGTGCTTGGATTCCATCTTCCTATATACCTCTACCTTCCTTCAATAACAATAATCATAATAATAGATTCAAATTTTACACATCTTGAAAATGAAGTCGGTGAAATAGAACTTTCTTGATCAAACCAGAGCCTGGAAATAAAGATACCTGGACAAAAATATGAGAGCAGTTTAGCAATCTTCTTTCCCACAGTGACTGGCACTGTATGTGTCCCATCTGCTGAGCAAACAACACATTTACCTTATACAGCACGGAAATTTCACACCTCTAGCTGCTGCTACTTAGAACTGTTAACTTTTCTTACTAGGGAAAGAAAGTAACACTAAATGTACATTTTTTTAATAAGCCTTAAGTAGTTTCAAATATTTTCAATTACAAAGAAACTCAAAAACACAAATGTAGCAGCCCAGTACTGATGGACTCATGACTGTAATCCTAGAAAATCAGGAGGCTGACATCCAGAGGATCTAAGTTCAAAGCCAACATGGTGAAATAAAGACAATCTCAGATTAACCAGCAGAAAATAAGACTGGAAACTCAAGTGGCAGAGCACCAGCCATGAGCAAGAAAGTAAACCCTGAATTAAGGACTGGGCAAAAAACTGGGGGAAAAAAAGAAAGATAAGAAAAGTAGCAACTCAAATATACGGTAGCAACATAAACTGCTACAGCAAAGCACAGTTCAATTATAAGAATTTTCTAAAGTAAACTGGAACTCACACTAATTTTCTGAAAGCAAGGTTGTTGTGTTTTTTTTCTTTTCCAGCAACATGTTGTTGACATTACTTTCTTAAACTCCAAGACACAAACACTCACGACCTAAACAGAACACCAAAGGAGATGGAGATAAAAGATTCACGAATATGGACAACGCAGAAGTCCTGCTTTTATCATAAGATCTTTTTCTAGTACTAGTACTTTTTCTAGTATTTGCAACTAGCAACTTAAACAACACAAGCACACAACAAAATTAGATATTTTAATTAGACTGATTATGTAAGGGAAAAAAATCATTTCATTCTAGGGTAGAGTACAATCACTTGAGCTATTTTAATTGTGCTCATTCCTAATAGCTAAACAAAGTGTCAGGAAGGTAAAACGAACTCCGAACATTAAACTGACAGAAAACAATCATTTCTCAGCTCTTATTTTTAAAGTCACTCTAGCAAACCCTGCTATCCATCGTTTCACCCTTTTCCCAACTCTGAGAGTTGGGGGGGAAGGGGGTGGCAACATGGTTTTCAAACAAATTTCCAAAGTGTAGAAAATGATACACTCCCCCACGCCCCCCCCCAAAAAAAAATTAGAAGCAAGGAACGCAGGCTTACAGTCTTTGTCCGATGTGAACCCACTGCAGTGGGTAAGGTCAACCTTCCCTAAGCTCATTGAAACTTTCCTGGCTCAGCCAACAGCTCGGCTCAGGTTTCTCTACCCTATCTAAATGAGATGAACGCTGCAGGAGTTTGCTGTACCGGCAAGAGCTATTTCAGCCCCTCGCACCGCAGTCCGCATAGCCCGCAGCGGGCGCATCCTCCATCACTCCTGGCGGTGCGTGGAGCTAACCTTTCCAAAGCATCCTCCCCTGCCTAGCCTTCCAAACAACCCCCAGAACCGATGCAACCAACTCCGGACCACATTCCCGCCGGGACCCCCTCCAGCCCGTGCCCGCCCCCAGCCGCCCAACTGCAGTGGACGACTTCGGCCCAGCTCCCCGAGGAAGGAGGGGGAGGAGGTGGTGTGGAGAAGGAAGACTCCCCGCCAAGCGCTCTTCAGCCCCGCACCGCAGCTGGGCAATGCGGGGAGAGGCGCAGACAAGATACTCAACACCACTGCCATATTTACATTGGCTTCTTTGGGCCCCAAACCCCTTCTATATCCGATAATATTGCCTTTAAAGGAAGGAAGAAATGGGGAGGGGGGAACCTTAGCGCTAAAGCTGCGGGCTGTCCAGTAGCCTTACCTCTGTCCTCCCAGCCTGGGACAGGTACCCCTACCCTGGGACTGAGGACTCGGGGAAGTCCACCTTTCCCCCACCCCCACAGAGGTGAGGCGATCGTCTAGAGGCGACCCCCAAACAGCCCCTCGCTAGGAGGACTGACAGCTGAGGATGGCGCCGCGCCCCACACACAAACTTCCCACTTCCCCGGGCGGGCACCGCGGACGGGTGGAGGACGCCACGGGCCCCGATCTCAGTGCTCAGATGCAAAGGGAACCCCCTCCTCCGCACCCGGCTCTCCGTTCCAAAGGGGGTGCAAGTGGCCCCGGGTGGCCCGGAGGGGTGAGGGGCGCACATCGTCGGGCTTGAAGGGTACCGCGGCGGGCGGGCAACCGCGGAGGGCCCGGGACCCGCCGAGCCAGCCCTTTTGGCTCCCCGCGCCGCAACAGCTGCAGCCAGAGGAGGGGAGCAAAGAAGACCAAGAGGAAGGAGAGGAAGATGAAGAGGGGTTGGAGGAGGAGGAAGGGGACCGCGCGCCGCAGCCGAGCCCTTACCGAGTGGTTGACCCCCCACATCAGGACGCTGAGCAGCGGGTCGCTGGCCCGAAACAGCTTCACTTTCTGCGCTACGAAGTGCTTCTTCTTGGTCTTGGTCTTGCTCGCTAGGACAGACCCCAGGTTCCCAGGGGTCGCCATGGCCGCCGCCTCCGTGCCCTCCACCGCCGCGCTCCCGAGGCCCGGGACCCGCCCTCCCTACACACCGGCCGGGGGAAGCAGCCGCATCCCCTCCCCGGCAGCAGCCTGGGCGCACCGTGC